TTCTCCGTTACATTGCCCACAGCACGGACGACGCAGCCATCCTGCCTTGACATCACCTCAGCCTTGCTCGTCTTGATATACATGTTCTGGAGACCACTAGGCTGAACATCAGCTAGGAGAAACGTTGTTAATTAGGACCTCTGTACTGTTTGGGCGGAATATAGCATCAAGCAAACTTGACGGACATGTGCAAATTCACGAGTGTGCGTACCTGATATAAGAGAAGCTTCCGTTTGTTGTTCAGCTACATAATCCAGCTGCGGCAAGCTGTGCACTGCGCTCTCCCCGAACGCTATCGCAGTCACCCAAGCGCATTGCAGGACAGCGTCATCTAAAATATACATAGCCATTATATCTTCCCTGGGCGTGTCCCTCATAGTTACCAGTTTAATGTCCAATGACGAACTTGCCCTCGAATGCAGGCCGAACAGTGAACTGGCGTAGGTCTGTGATTCTTGCATCAACTTAGAGCTAACCATCATGCACTTCTGTGACACCAAGGCAATTGCCTTCTTGACATTCTTCTGGTATTTATATGAAAGCTACGTTCTGCCTCCGGTCCTCACGTAAATTATCATCTTTGTTAAAATAATTATATTTTATTTTGAAATTTGCTGAATGCAAGCACCTATTACAGTTGAAGCATTCGCTATTTCTTCGGTGGAATTGTTCATCTGTGGCACGGGTAGGACCGTGTTCTCCTCATATTCCATAATCACCATTTGCGCACATTGTCATTTAATGTCATCTCAAATATATCCGTGATGTATGGATTTCTATCATAGCTTCTCTGCACTTGTTCTTCATAGCTAATCGTTCAACAACACACGGCAAAGCTGCCATCGAATGGGCAAGTTAAACAGTGAACTGACCTAATTCCTAACATGCTGCACCAACTTAGACCAGCTTCTGTTCTGATAACTCATAAGGTACATTTATGCCACCTAGGAAACCACCCACGTAATTCATCTTGACTTCATCCAGTACCTACCTTACGCTGCGCGATTTCATTTTTCAGAGCTGCATGTTATCGTCTACTACGCTTGACGCTCATGATTGAATAGCATAAATCGTTTAACATTCTGGCAAATGTACGCACCTTTTACAACCACAGGTTTTAACGTCTCTTCGACGGCATTGTCCGCAATGCCGATTGGGAAGGTCGCTCCTTCCTCCACATTCTCCACTTTTTCGTCTGAGCAGCTCAATTCAATGTCATCTGAAATACATTCGAAATGCAGGACTTTCTATCACGCAGCCTGTGGGCTTGTTACTCATGGCAGACCATATAGCAAATCACGAACTCAATTGACATAATTTTCAGGGAGTTTTTTTTTATTAATCTAGAGCAGCGCCTTCTATCATTCATTATTCTACGTTCCTATGCTTCCTAGGCAATCTCACGACACTACCTTCAGTTCACTGAATCATGTAGGCATGTCCAAAGACCTTTTACATGGCTCAGAAAATATGCAACTATTAAAAACTACCTAACCTAGACATCATCTTTTCTGATCTTTCCATATGAAGAAAAAGCAGATAACTTCTGTAGCGACTCATAGAGGAAGCGATGAGCAGTGTTTGTCAGATGAAACTTACAGAACTGCTCCTCATCTTCACCGCTTGGGTTTTTCTCCCACTCCTCCTCCTCCTCCTCCTCCTCCTCCTCCTCCTCCTCCTTCTCCTCCGCCTTCTGGTCTCCTTCCTGCTGGTCCTCATTCCCCCTCTTCTCCGTTTCCATCATTATCCAACGCAATATGCGTTGTGAGATTACTCTCATGTAATCTTCTATCAATCTGACATACATCAGGCCAAGATGTCTGATGCTGGCTAGCATTGTGGTCCTATTGCTGAAGTCTACCATTCAAACTCGGTCTAAATCGATAAGAACGGGCCCCGCGCATGACAGGTTGGGATGGATTTTGCGACATCGGATGACCTTTAATTTGCAAATCCATGTCACCTAAACCCACCACCGTACACATTCTGCTAAAATCATCTGAATACGCATTAGGCGTACAGCAAATGAAACATTTACTGATCTTCCGAAGTGTGCTTTTCGTTAGGTCGTGTTGAAATTTAGACTTCCATGCGACATAATTCCCTACCTTTTTCATACACAAGACTATGCCTTGTCTTTGACTGCAGTTCTCGTGTTCGAACGCCTAAGTCACAGGAAGTTGATGTGAAAATTTCCCTTACATATCAGATATCTGCTTAGATCCTATGCCAAACTCCACATCGTATGCCGGTAATTATCTTTTCGTACAACTGTTTAAGGCAATAACGTCTACCTGTCATTTGTTGCTGAGCAAATAAATCATTTTTTTCTTTTATTAGGTACCCTTGGGGGTTCATTTACAGCAAATAAATACACATTTTCAATTGAATTTTAGAGAAGGTAGATAGACTGCGTGCAGTATCCAGTCTATTCTTATTCAATTAGCAGTCTGATATTAAAAGCAGTGAGCGAGCAGTGAAAGCTACTCCTTCGTTCGAAAATAGAAAAAAATGAATGTGATTTGACCAGCTTTTAAAGAGATTTAAGTTCTTACTTATGAAAAAGTAAATGTGTGGGCCAGACAGGACTGGCTTGCATATAGTAATGTACAAGGCATTCGAAACAGACACCGTCAATGCAGAATTCGTAAGCCAGATGAGGCTGTTAGCGTCAAAGTAGCGAGACGAGTGGAAGCAAGATGTGATCGGTCAGAGTACATTTAGAGGTCAGGCCAGTGAGGGGATACTAGAGGTTGAGGCAGTCAGCAAAGTGTACGGGGAGACACAACCATGACACTTCCCTGCTGACCGACCGAACTAATGACAGATGACGAAAACAGAGGATCCTGCCGTAATCGACAACAGACCGTTTGGTGTCGAAGTGAGGAGAGAACAGCAAAAAACCGCGAAAATCATGGCTGAAGGGAGGAGTTATAACAGCGGATTTAGTGGCCATTTAAAAACAGCGGTTTGTAAATATTGGCTCGATCAGAGAGTCGGTTATGCTGCGACCTCGTCGCAGCAGTATCTGTTGCCTGAATGTCTGATGACGCAACCAGTAGCCCACTAGGGAACGTCACGCAATTATTTGGCAAACAGGCCTGGGAACTTATCGATAACATTGCGGACACTACTGAGCCTTCATCTTAGCTTGTGATAAGTCGACTAGACCCATCACCATCTACGACACACCGGTCCGTCTGCAATTTTTCTTGACGAGGTTGACAGTTAACAAGGACTTTTTAGCAGCACACGGTAAAACATTGCGCAAAGTCATCACTGCACCTTCGTGAAGCAACCTCTCCCGGAGTTCCGTGGTCCCTGCTGGCTGTTGTGCGGTCTGAACTATGAAGCTGATGACGTGCTCTCTCCATAGTAAGCTCCGAATCTGAAGCCCATATGTGCTTTGCTCCTTGAATAAGTCTTATTTTAGAACACCTTATGTGGCTTGAGTCTTCAAAACAATAGTTCACTCAACCGAATAACACTTGAACTCGATCATGGAATTTTTCATTTGAAAGTTGCGACACGGTGGTGTTGTTTACTGCCATCTTTTTCCTTATCAGCATATTCCAATTTTAACGGCAAATTCCCGCATGGAGTAAGGCATGCCGAATAATGCATTCGAGCATTCATTGTGCAGAGTCTGTTGCTGGTTGTCTGGGACAAATTTGAGAATCTGACTTCTTCTGCTCTTGACTACAGCCAACTTACGTAAAGTACGTCCTTGTGTCCGTGTATATATCAGTAGAAATTTCGGATATAATGCGATCGCTTGGCTGACGTCGACTTCTAGCAGGATATGATTCCCGGAAGTAAGCTCACTTTCGTAGAAAAGATGTCATTCCTTGCGGACTGATTGTAGAAACGGGAAACAAATTGCACACTCGAACACACCAGAACAATCTGTCAGCGAGACGGTGACACTGCATTCATTTGTGTTAACGGATGGTGGTAAATCATCGCAACAACGTGGAATGTCGGTGATGCACGGAAACCAACAAGAAGGCTGTTTCGGACGGACCACGATGTATTTGCACTGCGTATGATCAGTAAGAACGAAGGGAAAACTACGAGCGTTCTAATCGAAGGTGATCATTCTTTCGCGGTCGAGGAGATATACACGACACCCATCGGAGCGCACTATGCACTTTTCTCTGATGGCAAATCCTGCCCATGACACTGCATTTTCTGAAGAGGAATAGTCGAATTTGCCAACACGGAATGTGACGCAGATTTAACCCAGAATTTCGCTTTACGATTGCACATTTTGCCTGGAATCTACATTTTCCTTACCAGGACAGCGTACGAGGTTAGGAACAACCACCTTATTTTTGCAGTTTTTGTCAGTTTTTTTATCTTACTCGGTTTTAAAGCTTATCTTTATTCTGCAATCACGAATATCATTTTCCTGTTTGAATTTTTTTACTTAATCGGAAATTCTTGGCAATTAACCTGAATTTTCGTGTACAAGCCAAAATTTATCCACATTCTATGGGGATAACCTTATTTGATAATGGTATATGGCCCAGTTTGTATGTCTTGCATTTCTTTATATGTTGACTGAAATGATCATCGTACTAGAGCGCAGGTATAGAATAGAAATAAATAGGTTTATATATAGCATCACATTGGCTCTGCCAGTCTCCTTTTAATACAAAAAATCTACCTGAATGAACTCGTCAATTCGACCACACTTTGACTTTAATTATTTGAGTGTCTTCCTTGTCATTATGGCTCGAATCCAAAGTTTGATCTAGATTGACGTCTTGAATTGCCATACATAATAATAGGAAATTTAGAAAAAAAGTACAATATATATAATTACATCATTGAAGTTTGTAGTTTTATAGGATAAACCGCCCTTCGTGGAACTTAAATAAGATCGGCATCGGCCTGACATTGAAATTGACTTCGAGTTGAATGAATTATGGTACCCGATAGTTGCCGGTCGTCAGTCTTTAGCGGCATTATCACGGTGCCGTTGGCGGTACGGAGACAGTGGGTCGTCCGGAGTGTATTTAAGAAACGTAATAAGTGATTGGGCAACTTATGGGCTGTGGCAAAAGATACTTTGGCGCCTATTTCTTCTTACGCCTGGGTCAGGTGCTTATGGGGAAGTACTGGCAAATTAAAGCAGAGACAGAGGAAAAGTCATGAATGTAAATAGAGTCAAGGGAGGCCGAGTTACAGGGTGGGTTCTTGCCACAATGACGGGGTCGAAAAGCTGCGCAATACTGGCAGCCAGGGTTGTGATTTGGGAAACGGACAGGCAAGGGGTTTCGTTAATTCGAGGCCTGGAGTTCTTGACGGGTGGGGGTAAAGGAGGTCTCGGCTGGGATCGATGGATACGGCGATAAA